TATCACACATAAAAACGGCCGACATGATATTTTCCGTTGCTAGTATTGACACTTGTGAAATATAATATTTCATAGGAATTATTTCAAATTTGTTAAAATATGATTCTGACTGAGATTTTGACACTTAAACAAACATATCTCAGCTTTAATCGAACGACTGCATCGTGCGAGATACGAAGTACAAAAACTAATCTCATTAGAGAGGGTGCACTTTATTGACTGTATAAAAGTATACATAAAAGCGAGAGTATTCCAGTGGATGCGATCTACAACCTCTGAATTTGCCTAGTAACGATGAATTCCTCCAGAAAATGGTAATATTTTATGAGAAATAGTCTGTATTTCTCATTTTTTTTATTCTTTTGCGTAAAACTAAAATTCATGCAAATATTTTTCCATGATTTATAATAATTGGAGTAATGCAAATGAATATTTTCTAAAAAAAGTCAGTTTTTAGTGAAATTTATTCGGGAATGGGGCTTTAAAGCAGCTATTTTCAACCTTTGTACCCCAGTTTTTAATATTCATCTGTATCGTATAAAACACCTTTTTTGTGTCTTAAAAAAATAATATACTGGAGCCTAGCTTTTTTAGTCAGGCTCGGGAGGAAAAAAAATTTTGTTTATATGTTATACTGTACAACTAATTTTTCTAAGACACAAAAATCATATTGACAAAAAGCTTGGGATCGGTTAATGAGATGCTGATTTTTTTTATATTTAAAGACTGGGGGGGGGGGGGAAACTGGGGGGGGGGGGGAAGGTGGAAAAAGCTTGGTTACACCTCAGCTTTTAAATATATTCAAAAATCTGTATCTCGTATGCCTTTAGTGTCTTAGAAAAATCAGTTGTACAACATATCAACAAAATTTTTCCCTCTGGAGCCTGACTTTAAGACAGACTCTTTGAGTAGATGAATTTACAGACAGTTAAAGAGATGTGGCTAAGACTGGAATGTGGAGTGATGTTAAGGTGTGGAGTAAAGGCTTAGTGATTTGAAAGAAAATCATGCCAAAGTGCACGCAATAGCTTTTGTCAAAACAGGATGGATTTATCTAGGTCTGCAAGTCATTTCTTCCAAGAGAATGTTTGCTAGTTTTCCTCTGAAATTGAAAGATTAATATATATTAAACTACCAATTTGCTCGTTAAAATTAATTATTTTATCATAAGTTTATTTATGAAAACCAAGATGCGCTTCACTAATCTGATATAAAAAAAGACTGAACATTGTTGACTAGTTTTATTTGATAAACACTGACTTATTTATATATTTTCAGTGTTTTAATTTCAATTCAATTTTAGGACCTTTTTTGGAAATACAGGCACCTTAAAAAAAATTCAACTTAATTGGTTATTTTGATTTGTTCTAATGTATGGTATGTCAAAATAATAATTTTATAACAATAGAATGAGTATCTTATAAAGTCAATCGGACAATTATAGTAGATTATTTTTTATGGTGTGAAAGTAATGTTATTGACGTAAATTCTTTTTTTTTTTTGTCTTTCGTGGGTGTAGCCCACCTTTATTCTCTCTTTTTTTCATTGTTTTCACTAACTCTTGTTAAGGTTCAATAAACATTATGTTCAGGATTTACATGAATGTAAAGCAAAAAAAATAAAAATCAAAACTTCACATGTCTACCACGAAGTACACTACACTATCACATGAAATTTCTATAAACAATTATTATTTTGATAAATTTTTACCAATTAGTGCTTGACATTTTTTTCTATAATTTAACAATTATAACTTTGCATAATATAATTGATTATGGTTCCTATTATATATTATAATGTCATTGAATACATGTAGGATATACCTATATAAAGTATTAAGATTCAGAAATATAAAACATTTCATGACTTGTTAATAAAATATTGACGTAAATTCTATTAAATAAATGCAATTTGGCTTTACTAATGTGTATTAATCTACTAAATATTATTTTAAAGTAATAAACCTTTGAGCAAATGTTGATGGTTGTAGTCAAAAGAATTAAAAACAAAGTAAAAGAATAAAATTAATAAGGCAGGCCAATAAAACAAATGATAGTTTATCACACTCTGCCCGCATGTCTTCTATGGTATTATAAAAAAAACATTTTGGGAAAAAAAGTATTAATTTTTTATAGTAATTAGTAGATATTGTTTGTATTATCTCAATCACGTATTTTACTTTGAATATCAATGTACCAGCAAACAACCAGCGGGTGATATTTGGCTTTAGCAAAATGAAAAATGTAAATGCTCCCTTCCTCATCTTTTTTCCAGCCTAGATAGGGTGATAAACTAATAATTTTTTTGATATGGCCTAAATATAAATATTTGATTAGTTTCTGTGACAGGTAAATTAGTTTATATTTTTTTGATATGAAGTTGGATAGATAGTCTACTCTTTGTTAGGAGTATAATAATTTATTAGTTTATAACCCCAAGTGATCAGTTGAAGAATATTAAATGCGACAGGAAGTTTAGAAACAAGCCTGATTGCATAGCATACATCTTCTGCCTTAGGGATCCAGCTTGTATGTTCACAAAATGTAACAATTCTTAGAGAAGCCGCCTTCGGAATCTCGGTAATTGACACCGACTGTATGTGGAATGAGTATGCTAAACGGTGGGAAGAAGTATGATGATTGTTACATGGATAGCAGTATAATATTTAGGGGTTTTTTAAAATTTTTGGATGATTTGTTGAAATTATGATTGGAACTGACAGTTTCATCTTAAGATGTGTCTGTTATTTGAGGCAAAAAAAAAACATGTTTCTCGTACAATTGCTATAAAGAAGAGCATGATTGCCCTTTTATTACATTTTCTCTTCACAAAATGGCTATTATACAATTATTTTTTATACCACACACAGTTACTGCTTGTGAAAAATGTTTAGATGAATTTTGGCTGTTGTGTTTTGCCTTGTAAAATGTAAAATAAAAAGAGGGAGCCTGTCATAAAAATATACTGTACAAGAAAAGGGAAGAAATATATATTTTTTTAGATAGATGTCAAATATTATTTCAAATTGGATGATTTTTTTTCTTCAGCTACAGTGCCCAAGACACACTTCCACGGCTGTCCCCCTCCAGGGCACTGCTGTACTGATTGCAACACTGCTCCTTGACTCCATTTTGAGATGTTCCAGTGATTGCAATTATTGCTTCATAGTTGATATATTTTGTTAAAAAAATATGAGAGTTTAATATTATCAGGCTGCTTTCTATAATACTAATACCTGTACTGTATAACAACAACCATATTTTAAATGTTGCCAAGTTTTTCTGTTATTGTGAAAGGTCTGTGTATAATAAGTGTTCGCCAGGTGCAAGGGTTGTGCGCTCAAGATAAAGGCATTGTAGTGGATTGCCAATCACGTTAGGTAGAGTCAGGTGTATGAGTTGGTAGTCACCGTCCTTGAACCTGGCTTGAACTATAAAAAGATTACTGGCCAGCGAGAATAAAACACTGTAGAATATAAGATATTTGGTTGTAGGCACTTTGAGTTCTGGAGGTAAAAAATACATTAGCAGGACTATTGTGAAATAAGCTAGGGTTAATTCTGGTGGCATTCCATTGGTGTTGTTAGACTTCTGTTGAACCGAATCTTTCTAAAGTTGTTGTGAAGACTAAGGCAACACAATTACAGATATTCTATTATTTAGCCCATTCCAGTTCAAAGTGTAGTTCTTGTCTACTTTAGAAAGCTCCCGTATTGTCAGTGATGACAAAGGATTTGGCTTTGACTTTGTTAAAATTTAAAGTGAGCTTCTTTGTATAGAACTTGAATTACTGTCGTCAAACCTATAAATTATGATAAAAAAAATTGTTGGTTCTCACGAAAGTAACAATATTTATTTTGTTCATTGAATTCTGTTGTTCTGAATTTGAACACAATCGATTGTGACTTGGTGGTTAAGATACTTGCCTTTTAATCTGAAGGTCTGAGGTTCAAATCCATAAAAAAAAAAACCATTATTATTTCGTAGGACTTATAGGACGTATTTCCTAGGAAAAAATAATGCAAGAGTATATTGTATTCCTTTCATAATAATGTTTTAGTTCTAGGTATCGTAACTCACTATTCTGTGTTGACATATCTTTTAATTTTATAATGTTTTACGGTATTATGTCTGTGAGATCAAAAAATGTTAATAATTTTTTTAAATACTGCTTTTTTATTCAATATACTAGTATGACGACTCTTCATAGCTTCATAAGGATAATAAGCTGAATACAGTAGGCCTATATGAATACAAAGCCTTGTGTTTTTATTGTTTTTGCTTTGTAAAAATGTGTTCTTTTTGTGTGTTCATAAATTATCCGTGTGTGGCGCACAGCATTTTAAAACAATATTGCATTGAATTAGGTTGGATTATTATACTATGTTACAACATCCTGCTATTAAAACGTTTTCAGGGGTTTTTCTACTCCTTTGTGGTTATTTTACTTTGCTGATTTTTATTTCTTTTATTTGTGTTCTGCATTTAATTTAATAAGATGTGCATCCTGTTGGTTAAGTATTGTATAGTCCATCTTTCTCTTAAAATCAGCATTAAGTTTCAGCATTACGTTTCAATCATAGTTAAAAATTACCTCAGCTCAAAACTTGATGTTTAGTTTTTTTAAATATTTTAACAGCAGATGTCCTATGGATTTTAATTGCCTTAATATTTGTAATGCTTTATTTTTATGCAAACATAATAGTATTTAGAACACAATTAGAACTGTGCAGAATTCATGATGATGCTAACTATTTATGACACTTTAACTTAAACACATTCAACTTGTACTATGTAACATTTGATTGACAATGTCATTCTTTCACCTTCCGTGGAGATCAGTACATATTATCTACTATTATTATGGTCGTCACTTCCCAGATGAACAGTACCAGGGTACTGGAAACAAACACAATGGCAGGTGATTTGTCTGATTGCATCAAGCCTTTGTTTTCGTAACATAGAATGGAATGGTTTCAATCCCTGTTATTTTTCTTTCAGGAATAGGACGGATACAAACTAAAAGTCTAATGTGGTAGGGGAACTGCAAGATTATCCCCCCATACTGTATTTCTGTCTTTGGTGTTATGCAGTAATACGTAGTATTTACGATGAGCTCACAGGCCAAATGCACTGTGGCATTGTTCAGTGGCATACTGTGCTTACTGTTGTTGTGTTGCCAAGCAGAAGATTCAATTTCTCCCACAGGTGAGTTTAAATAAGATTTGTTTTTATCTAACTTATTTTCTTGCACCCTTGTCTTCAATTGTATATATTTCAGGGGATAAATTTAGGTGGTTAAGCTTTGGTTTTAAAGTATCTCAATATAGTTGAAAAATCAATTGGACTAATGTTCCTCATACGATAATCATTGTCTTCAGTCAAACTCAATATATTGTTCACATTCCAAAGGCTAACTCATCCAGTTATATTTTTGTACAATTTTTGTAAATTTTCCTCTTTTCATTATTGTTTTTTTCTCCGTGTGCTCTCGCCTCACGGTTATAGCTTCAGCATCGTGTTTTGAGATTCCCATAAACTACAAATAACCAGCATGTACAGTATGAAAATAATATAGTGGAGCAGATAAACCAACCATAAAAAAAAAAAAAAAAAAAATGTGATAAAACCAACCATAATAAGATAAAGGATTATCATTTCATTGTTCCAACCAAAAGAGGATAAGTAGAGGTTTGCTCGTAATAATGACTGGCCCTTTAACAGTGATGTATCAAGCAAATGCCTCCGTGTACTAGTCTTGACGTAATATGCTAATTTAATTGGCAAAATTATATTTAAATTCATGCCTCATTTCAGCATTCATCAGATTCACATTTAATTTTCATCAAATTCCTAAACGATCACAACTAATTGGGTATGATCTCCATCAAAGTAAAGAAGAAGAATTAATAGTTACAGAATTCAAATTTTTCTTGCACTAAATTTTGATGTTGAGTGAAATTATGCCTTAGGGTAGTGTGAATACAAAGCAAATGTTGGCCTATTGTCGTCCATGGTAACCATTCTCATTAGCAGTAAATAATGAAGTGCCAGCCTTTTGTTTAGAAATTGCAAGTACTAAGCATTGGCATTGTCTTGGTAAGTATGGTCTTTTAACCTGGATTGGCAAATGTGTATTAGAACTCGGCTCAAATATTAATTGCAGATGGTAGCCTTGTTTTTCAAAATTGAATGTATTTTGTCCATTTTTTAATTATATTTTTGAATAATTTTGTACTTCTATTAACACATACAAGTTACAAAGAGCGAAATAGTAATTAAATGTATTTTATTATTAAAATATAAATAAATGTATGATGAAATTTCTTAAATTAACACTTGCAAAATATGTTTTTCAAAACTGAATGTATTTTGTCCATTTGTGAATAATTTCACACCTGTTGTTACAAATTAACATATAAACTTACAAAGAGCTATAAAATAGTATTTAAAAGCATTTTATTATTAATATTGTAAATATAATACCGGTAAATATATTTATTTTAAGAGTAATGAAATTTCTTTAACACTTGCAAATTATGTTTTTCAAAAGAAAGTTATATTATACAACAACAACAAAAAAACTCCAAAATTTCTTATAAATTCTACTATTCTTCCATTCCTTTATTGAAATTTTTCTCTCTAATTCAAAGAAATTTTAGATAGATTCCACACTCAACAACTTTACACAGGGAATGTTAAATGTTTTATAAGCAATTTGCACAATGGTCTCAGTTACATTATAAATAATGAATTCAAATGACATTAAAGGTTTTTTTTAAGTGCATCCTGCTAAAAAATCCTCTAAACGCAAGCAGTAGCCATTAATTTTAAGCTCTTTTAAGAGATAGTCGGCATTTATCATTGCAAATTATTACAAGTCCTTAGAAGCCCTTAATCTCATTATTAACTGAAAGTAATGTTCATAATGATTAGAGGAATCATAAACCATTATTTAAAAAAAAAAAATCTAGTTGTCACTGAAAAATAATTGTCTAGTTATAACAAGTTATTATTTGATGAGACATCATTTACATTTCTAAATTTGCATGCAAGTCTTCCTGGTTGTAAATTAGCATGCTAAAACATATTTTTCACCTTGTTCATTTTATTGGAGATTTCCAGAGGGCCAGTTAAGTTTAACAAATGGCCAATCAGAATATGTTTATTGGGACCAGAAATATATGCACGCTCCACAAACACGCAAGTTTACGTATATTTATACTGCGGTTTCGTAGGGCCTTGGCAACAATATCCAAGGTATGCGGCGTGGAGGAAAAGTTCATTGTGGAATCAATCAAGTAAGATTCAATCGAAAACGAGCAAATTATTGTTGGAGTATCGTATTGCTGAGTAAACATAAAAACTAGGTTGCAGCGGCATATTCTGCATAGGTATCTATCGTGCATGATCCACTTATTCCAATTTTGACCTATTTGTTATTCTATCTTCAATGTCTGTGAGCTTAATTTTTACAATTTCTGAAATGATATTTTGTTTGGGATTGAGTTAAGGTATTAGGCCATTGTTTTTACAACCTGCATTTTCAAGCACTATTAATCGATCAATTACGTTGTGTAGTAGTTGCATAAAATGTAAGTTGGTAGCAAAATAGTTGATGGGACTTCATCATATACCATATTGTCTAGAGAATAAACACCCCTCTTCTATTAAACGCCTCCTCTGAGTTTTCTTCATTTTTCAATGAGTGCCCAATCAGTTAACATGGGTATCCAGTCCATGAAAAGGTTGAAAAACAAGGAGTAATACTGTACTGTGTGCTGCTTTCTTTGATATGAAATGAAATAAATACTACTCAAGAAAGCTTACCCTAAACGTTTGATGTTTACTGTCTTCACGATCACTAGGCCTAGGCCTATTTTGTGTTTCTCTCATGGTATTTCGTTAGCCTTGTAAAAACAGGGTAAGCTGCAAACTGACGGCAAACGACGGGTAATCGTGTATTGTTAATGTGTCGCGTGTTCGACGCTGATTTGATTCAATGTGTCTGGTCAATGAAGTCTATACCGTAGTGAGAATGTTTCTTCAAGTTGAGGGCAGATGTTTTGCGTCCGGTGGTGCAGTGCTAGGCCTAGTTAATGAGGCCGACAATGTTTTTGACAAGCACGCGATTGCTGTTGTGAAAGGAGAAGCACCGCGCTGCATCGTCGGACATTTACCCCAAGAGAACTCAAAGATATTTAATTTCTTTTTGAAACACAAGGAATTATTGATGTTCAAATAACCAGCAACAAACGAAGGAACAGCAAAATAGCAGGAGTCCTGGAGATACCCTGCACATTAACTTGTTCCTCTACAAATAAAGAACATTGATCGTTTAAAGCAGCTTGTTTAGGTAATTTTTGATTTTACAATTCACCTCTAGTAAACGGCCCCCCCTCCCCCCTTTGAAAAAATGCAACGCCCCCGGGGCATTTATTAGAGACAATACGGTATGTGGCAAAGACAAGCCAAACTAGTCACTCGTCATTTTAGAATGTTAAAATTTTCAATATTTATTTTATTCCACTTAACTAACCTTTCTATACATCATTCTATGTTTTTATTTTCCCCATTTTCGATCATAAAACTTTTTTTAACGATTTGTTAATGGTCTTACCTTGAGAAATATCTCAATTGAATTATTATTTTACCATTTTATAACTTTTATTTTACTGCTTAACCCTGTATTAATAGCTAAAAATTAATTTTTTTGAGGAGTGAATGCTTTGGCATGTATGAGCTGTTTCTCTCTTCCCAATATTTTTTTTTAGATGAGTAGGCCTACTAAGAGGAAGATGTGGAATAAGAATAAATAAATAAACCACCATGGACACCAAACAGAATGAATATCCTTGTATGTTTATGTCCTTTTCTAGGTCATTACAGTGACTTAAATTACCAAAGATTATTGAATAAACAGAGAAGACATTACTGTAGTAAGACCAGTTGCTTCTCAGAAACCACAGATATTTCAATTACCATTAGGAAAGCTGTCCTGTTGTGGTTGCCAGATATTTCAATGCTCTGACAATACAGAATAGCTAAGTGTGGGGTCCTACCTAACCAACATTTGACTGCAGGGGAAAGTGCATGAAACTTCCCACTTGCGTAATTAAATCGGTTTTCTATTAACAAAATAATCTGCGGGAGATTGGGCAAAGATAACACAAATGAGTATTTGGAAATGGGAAATTGTTCCTGAAATGATTTATTTTCAAGGTAGTTTTATATATCTGTAAATTCATAGCTAAAAATATTTTTTTTTTACTCTTTATAAATAGTGATATTTATTTTAATTAAAATTTATATTTATTTTCTATAATTGTATTTTATGGTCTTTCAGTCATTCATAGTATAAATATAATTCTTTGTTAATAGAAATATACAAATTAATAATGCAGGAATGAAATCTAGAAAAAAAGTTTATTAATCCAAGTATTTTAACTTACTAAAAATGTGCATATTACAGTGTGATAATATTAACAGCAAATTATAAAAGTGAACAATTTAAGCATTAAAACAATTAAAATAACCATCTGCAAATAAAATAACCCATGACTCGTACAAATTTAGCATTTCATAAATTTATGAAATTATAAATTATTGCTTCCAAGGTTCACTTGAAGATCTGGCAACCAACAGGTTGATAAGATCAATAAGATAGAAATCATTCATGTTTTCTACAGATGTTCTAAGCAGTTAATTATATAATATACATCATACAACTGTATAATTACTAATAAGATTCACGTCTCCATTATGATATACTGCGTTTGTAATTTCATGAAAGCGGGTGAGTTACGCGCCAAATATTAATGATGTAAACAGCTGTTTAGTGGTAGCTTACCCAGTCAGCAGGAGGCTAACCATTATTTTACACTTGTCCTTGCCAAATAAAAAAAGTATTACACTGACTATGGAGGAAAAACATTTTTTAATATGTTGCACAATTGATTTTTCTATGAAACAAAATGGGTTTTTGCCGAAAAACTTGGAAACGGTTAAACGGTTAATGAGAAATAGATTTTTGAATTCTTAAGAACAAGGAAAAAGAGGAAAAAATAGGTAGTTGTGCCCCCTTTTCCCCAGTTTTTGAATATATAAAAATCTGTATCTCATTTACCGTTCTTGAGTTTTTAGTAGAACACCCTTTTTGTGTCTTAGAATAATCTGTTGTACAACATAATCAAAAAAATGAATTTTCC